GTAATATTTTCAACCAAAAAAATAATAGTTTCAACCAAACTAAAAAGGCAGTTTCAATTTAAATAAAATAATTTCAACCAAAAATGTTTTGCCAACCAAACAAAAAAAAAAAAGCCATTTCAATCAAAAAATAAAAAAAAACTATCAAAATGTTTTTTGCAAAACATAAACTTTTGATTGAATCTCCAACTTTTTGTTGATGCTTATAGTTTTTGGTTGAACTCAAAAAAGATTTGAACTCAAATGTCACAAACTGGGGTAGTGGTGCAGGGAGTAGAGAAGCCAGGCTTCTGATCAGAAGATAGCTGATTCAACTCCAAGTTGGTCTCCATGTTGCACATGTGTTCACATGTGTGATAGGTTGAATGTAGAGACTTAAAGGAGACCTATTATGCAAAATTNTAAGGTGGTCTGAACGTCCTCCCTGCAGCTGTTTAAGGTGGTCTGAACCCCCTCCCTGCAGCTGTTTAAGGTGGTCTGAACCCCTACCTGCAGCTGTTTAAGGTGGTCTGAACGTCCTCCCTGCAGCTGTTTAAGGTGGTCTGAACCCCTACCTGCAGCTGTTTAAGGTGGTCTGAACCCCCTACCTGCAGCTGTTTAAGGTGGTCTGAACCCCCTCCCTGCAGCTGTTTAAGGTGGTCTGAACCCCTACCTGCAGCTGTTGAAGGTGGTCTGAACCCCCTCCCTGCAGCTGTTTAAGGTGGTCTTGAAGCCCCTCCCTGCAGCTGTTTAAGGTGGTCTGAAGCCCCTCCCTGCCGTTGTTTAAGGTGGACAACTTATTGATCTAACTTGTGTTAAACTTTGTCTTAAAGGGATCAGATTTTGTGTAAAGGTTATGAACAAATGATGTATTAGCTGTTGGTTTAATCTGACTGTGCTTTTACTCCACCTTAAAACAACTCCAGTCTCCAAACTGTGAAGTCCTGGAAAATAAACTTAATTTCATCTGTTTTGCACTACGGTCATCTCCATCTGCAAACATAAACAGCAGCAGCAGCTGGATCTTCCTGCAGGAACATCATATTTCTGCTAAAATAACCAAACCAGGTGAAACTGATGACAGTTTACAGATTTATGAAATAACATTTTGCAGAAATCAGTGACATTTTTCACATTGACGTAGTTTTAAAGTGCCTGTGACAACAAATTTTTGCATTAAATGTTAATTAAAAAAAATAACATTGAAAAAAATCACACTGCTGAGATATTTGCATGTGAAGTAACAGGAAGTGATGTCAAAGGGGACTGTGTGCAGGTGAACAGAGCGATGCTACAGAGGCCAAACTGTAGAGAATATTTTGACTCTTCATCTCTCTGGTAGTAACTTAAAATTAAACAAAAACATCAGAGTTTAATGTTAGAATGAACAAAGACCAGGGAGTTTCCTTTCTGAGTTCCCCTTTGATGTCACTTCCTGTTTCACTTTGAGCCCAGTTCAAAAGAAAACCTGCAGTTAAAAATAGGTTTAATTATGTGTACTATGTCAAAGATGTTATTGTATGTGAAGGATATGCATGTCACAGGTGCTTTAATATGTCATAAATCTGTTTCTGTTCATAATAACGCTGCGGTCCAATTAAAAATATTAACCACTAAAATTAGGTTTCTAATGCAGAAAGTTAAAAACAACCCGATCAACTACTGACCTCTGAAGTCTACTGTTAACTCGTGGTGATAGCTGCAGTAAGAATCTAATTATTTTATCTTCTGTCAGTTTAAAATAAATGCAGTCTGTTTGAGTTGCTAATGCTAGTTAGCCTGATTAATAAGTGCAACTATTAACAGAGGAGGAGCAGATTTCCAGAGTTGCAAGTGGAACAATTTAAAGTTTAAACCATGAACTCTGAGATGAATAGAATACAGCTTTAACCTATTTCTTTAAATGAAGGTCACTCAGATAGATATCTGCAGCAGGTAAGATATTGATTGTTCATAACCTTTTCCATGAACCATGTTGAAAATGTTTTTAAACCCCATTTGTTTTTATTTTTCTTTTTCTTTCAGTGTGTACACTTTTACATCTGTAACTCAAGTATGCATCGGACATGTGTAGATAAAGTATCTTTATGATATTGGACTAATACTGCTTACAGTTTGTTTTTTATTAAGTCTCTTTGTAATGTTCACATTTTTCTCTGACATGATGTACAGCAGCTGTCCAACTGGTAATGAAGTGCTTTATTGTAATTTAGTTGTGCTGAAGTGTTACCTGGGCTGAACGCAGGCAGGAGTCACCTGAAGATCTGCTGAGTCGTGGTTTTAACAGAGCACTGCTAAGATCTGCTGAGTCGTGGTTTTAACAGAGCACTGCTAAGATCTGCTGAGTCGTGGTTTTAACAGAGCACTGCT